CTTATGACTTATTAAATAGTCCGTAGAACAACTGGATTTCGTCTTTTCAACTCATATCATTTATAGGTACAACGTTTCCTTTCTTCCTTTTCCCTTACTCTCCCACTTTTTTTCTGTTATGTGCAGCTTTGTTTCTTTCTTCTGTTTACGCCAGTAAATATGCTAGAACCTACTTGTCTAACACCTTCAAACACTCTGTTCAATTTTGGCTTGCTACCGACATGCCAATATGTTGTTGACAAAACGAACTGAGATTACCCTTAATCTATGTAGAATTTTATTTATTGTGAACGTACTAACTGGATGCAATACTGTATGTAGTACAATGCTGACAATTCCATTCTGTATCACAAGTACTGTTTTGGAATACAGTAAATTATTATTATTATATCACAGTTACGTAATAAGATGAGTTATTTTGATGAGTTTGAGTTGTAATGGGGGCGGAACATAGAAATGAAGAAAAATATGGAATTATGTAAAAAAATACAAGAAGTTAGACAAGCAAATAAACAGACAAAAATTGAGAGAAGACCAGTAGTAGTTCAACAAAGAGGAGGAGTCTCTTTTCGGAGACGGTGAATTCATTTCCTTAACTGTACAATCGTAAATAGATATGTACACGCACGTGAACATTAAGTTCATCAAACAAAGAAAAATAAAATCAGTTATGGTTATTTTAACTAAACAGGTGAAGATTGGTAATTTGAATTACGTAATGAAATTAGGGTAGTAACAAAGGTGATAAGTTGTCACAAACAGTTGTTAGAAAAGAAGTTATGTACTAATAATAATAATAAAATGGATAGTTTGATGCGTGATTTCTACTCAGGATACACATTAAGTTTATCAAACATAAATACAAATGATTGTAGTTATTTTAACTAGACAGATGAGAGTTAGTAAGTTTTATGTGGATTTTTGCGTCATACAAAAAGTATTCAGAGGAATTAGATGTTGATACAAGAGGCGGGGGGGGGTGCGGTGACAAAAGTGATGAGTGATCACAAACAAGTGTTAAAGAAGAGTTACGCAATAACATGAATAATTTGACGGCAGATCTGCGCTAAGGGTGAACATGAAACAAAATGAAATGCGGAGAAACGTAAGAGTTTTAAGTAGTTAGAAACACAAGAAAAAAAGAGCAAAAGTTAAGTCAGGTCAACAGAGTTGTTACCATGATAGTTGAATTCACCCAAAAAAATAGACTCCTCTTCATCGGACTACTGGTCTTCTCTCTATTTTCCTTTGTTTGCTTGTCTAACTTCTTATAACTCTTGTATTTCTCACATAATTCTATATTATCCTTTGTTTCTATGTTCCGACCTGATTACAACTCATCCATCAAAATTACTCATCTTATTACGTAACTGTGATATACACTTAATCAACTGCTCTCATACATTCACTAAAATAACAACAACTATTCACATATTGCTTTGTAGGAGGAGTTTGATTGATTCGTTATAGGATTTTAACATGAGCTGACATTGGTTAGAGAACCATTGGAAAACCACCCAGGGAGTACTGACATACAACTGTTTCATCAGCCTAGTTTGGGACTCTTCAGCAGTACGCACTCATCACCACAGGGGTTCGAACCCAGGACCATCTGGTTACAAGACTAGCGAGATAGCTCGTAGACCATTGAGCCACTAGGACCCTATCCAATGGCCCATGAATTCTAACCTCTGCCAATTCACGATATAGCGCAACCGCTAGACAATGTCATCGGTGGCGAGTATTTGTCCTCATATCCAACCTGCTGCAACCTACTCGTCACGACTTCCCAACAGAACCCCAGGTAACTATTTATTTAAACGCATAAAAACTTGGTACAATATGGCACCAAGAAGGATGAGCCACACACTGATAATAAAACAACATAGATCAAAAGAAAAAAAAGAAAGAAGAGAAATATATATATATAAGTAAAGAACGGATAAAGAACTTCATCTGGAAGGCAAACAGTCACGCTTAACAAGTTCAAACACTATTCGTTAACTATCATCGAGAAGGGAAGAAAGAAGGAAATTGCAACACGTGCAATAGCACGCGATAGGTTTCATTGATTGTTTGTTGCTTCATTCAGTTCATTGTGTGAGGGCTGAGATACTGCCCGGGCGCCCAAACCGAAGCAGGTAGTTTTATTAAGGGACCCCCCCGAGCCTTTGACTTAGAGTCTAATCCGCAAGGCAGCGGAGCAACGTCAGGAGCTGCATTCTAATGGTTTCCGGTGACCCATATGGGTTCATAGGCCATTTGATCCGACTGGATACTGGACCCATGTACCCCATGGTAACTGCTTTTAGTTTAACCGCTATCCAAACAACCTTCCTGACATGGTAGGACCTGCAGGGACAGAGTCCCAGTCAGTTTAGCATGTTGGGTCATTACGGTATTCAAGCCTGACCACCACGACAAGATAGCAGTTATCGGCCGGACAGGTAACTACCTCCCTTGATAAGGCCAATCGCTAGTGATCATCTATCTCATTGATATTCAGCGCTCAAGGAGCCGAATCAGTTGAAACCATCTGATTTCGGACTAGCTATTTGGACAGACGGGTGGGTGACACCATATTATTGTTTCCTTTAGATTCTAGAGGAACACTGAGCTTCACCCGGACGTCTCCTTTGCGTTCGGTTCTCTGCTAAAGTTTTCACCTGACTCCACATCTGCCCACATGCTTTCATCGCCTCTTCACATCACCTCCCCCTCCATATCACCCTCGCACTGACGACCAATTCACCGCTTCCCATGCCATTCACATCTGATCTTGAGTAGTATTGAGCAAAGACAGCTGTTGATGAAGGTCTGTAGTTTCTTTAAAGTGGGCTTCGTGACGCAGTGCCACGTCACTGATTCGTATAGTAAGTAACACTTACTTCACATTGGAGCTTTTCATGCTGACTGCTGTTGGTTCCCTCCACACAGAATTGAAAGTAATGAAAGCTTGACTTATATACTCCATATATATATTCATAATTTTAGCGCAACTGACACCCGGCCAATGTCATCTTTGGCAAGTGTTCGGTAGACCCCAGTGGTCACAACCTTTTACTGGAAATCCAGGCAACTTCAATAATCACTCCACTGAGGCAGACACAACTTCCTAATTAAGTGAAGTAGTCAGCACACTTAACTACTTCACTCCCTTTAAACTGACCCTATAAACACCCTGGTACGGCTGAGAGTGGGTATACTTCGATCTTCCCCTCCAAATGCTCTCATGTGGCCACACGTTCATAGCCTCAGCTAACTAAGTCGTATGCACTGCCGTCACGCGGCCTAGGTGTCCCTCAAAAAGGTGGAGGGACGAATTTGGGTGTCGTGCGGCTTACAAGCGGATCGGTAGACAATTAGGTTTACCTAGGGGAGTGAAAGACTGGCTGTGAGTGGAAGACGCAAAAAGATTAGCTGTCTTTCATCATAGGTGTCTGCGCTCTACCTCCCGTGTGAAGTGGTATAATAAGGTGAGGAATATTGAGGTTAGGCATCACTCGAGTGCTAGATAAGGAGGGTAAATCAATCGACGGGGCTGTGAAGTTACATCGACTGAAATGGTTAGGACATGTGTTGCGTATGTCTAGTCATCGACTTCCTCTACGGGTAATGTTAGCTGATATAGGGTCAGGCTGGAAAAGACCTAGCGGCAGTCAAACCAAAACATGTCACCAGTCAATGAAATCCACAACAGTTAGTTTAAGCCAGTCACGTAGGAAGGTGTAGACTAACTGACTGGTTGGAGTCCTCGGGTCGGTAAAAACCAATGGTTGGAAACAATTGGTGGGTGATATGGCTCAAAATCGTTGTCAATGGCTGGTGCCGGTGCATCCACTCCTTGTGACTTATGATTTCCAATGAAACTGTTTTGTTCTTCGTTATTACTATTCCTTTGTCTCACACCTCTGTTTACTGTTTCTATTATGCTTTTCTTGTACTTCCTTCTCTTGCTTTGTGTGCTACAAGGAGTGGAGTGTGGCGACTTGAACTGGAGCATATCGGTGCAAAGTTTTATGTCGAAAACAGACAGACAGACCTAGGGGAGTTGTAAAACTTTGATTCTAAACCTATATTGTGTACATGGTCTCTAGAATCCAACTGGATCGAGTGATTTATGAACATGTTTTGACCACGGGAAACCATGTGGATCCTGCTGCACACTAACTACCCTGTGAATCAGACATGTGGTGGTTACAGCATGTTAACCACTTCACTTATTTGGGAAGTTGTATTAGCCCTAAGAGGTTGATGGCAGACACAATCTCAGCATGGATAAAAAAAGGCTCGTCTGGCATTTGCATTCACACAACTGACACAACTTCCTGAGGGTAAAATTTCACTACCCCATAGTTCCCTTTTTCATGTAAATGTAAAGTAAAGTAATATACAAAATCAGCATCAAAAATAAGATCCGGATTTTTAACTCCAATGTGAAGTCAGTGCGTGCTACTTACTATACACGCATCAGAGACTTGCACTGGGCATCATGAAAGGCATCTCAAACAAACTACAGACCTTCATCAACAGCTAGTTGTCTTCGCTCAATACTACTCAAGATCAGATGGCTAGCTAGAAAACATAAGCAACAGGGATTTCTGGCAATGAGCGAACCAACCCAGCAGAAACTGACTTTCCAACAAATAGGCAGGAAGAAATGGAGATGGATTGGTCATACTCTGAGGAAACCATCTAGTGAGTGACATCACTAAGCAAGCCGTTGCTCGAGTCGAACTCGAAAGGGAAGCAGCGAGTTGGTCGTCCAAGGGTGAGGGTGATATGGAGGAGATGATGTGAAGTGGAGATGAAAGCATGTGGACAGACTTGGAGCGGGGTGAAAAAATTGGCAGAAAACCGAAGCCAATGGAGACAAGCAGCTGAATCCCTATGTTCCTCTAGGAATTAAAGGACATAATAATAATAATAATACAAAATCAAGAATATAAATAATTAACGAGGTAAAACACATAAATCATAAATCAGTAGATGAAACTAACTTGATTACTATCATCATTGTTATTATTATTATTATTCATACGTGATGAAATACCCGGCACTAAATGACCAATTTTTTGTAGACAAGACCATTTAGATCCGTTTAAACCCATTTCAAGCAATGCTTGTTGATTTCGTTTATTCGAGTAATAGAAAAGTATCAATTCATTGACTGTACGGTTAGGAAACTGTGGGTTAAAAAAGGGGTAGAGTAGAGAAAAAACAAAACAAAACAATTAGTGCAGTAGTAGTGTAGTGAGAGCAGGCTGCTAGCCAATTGGTAGACATTAATTTACGTCAATGTCTAGGTCACTAATATTGGCCGTGAGAAAATATGAACAAGGCTGATTTGACAACCAATCACAGCAGACTTAACGTGAGCAAATAAGATTCGCAGATATATGGCTTAACTTTGCGAGAAACCAGAAACAACCAATCAGAAGACTGTGTTTGTCTGCTTGAATAAGTTATAATAATGTACATGAAATATATATATATATATACATGCTCATTTCCGTAAAAAAACGATCTGTTGCCGGCCTTTGTCTTCTGTTGTTACAGTATTAGTGGTGAAGCTTCAATGAGAATAATAATTCAACTTTGAGTAATGAGTTGTGAACTTCAGTTGTCCGTATTACTGAGATCTACTTAGCGAACATCCGACACCTCCTTGAATGGGATATAGACACAGGTCGTCCGTCCCTAACTGAGGTTACTAAGGCTGTCACTAGTCTGAAACAAAGCAAAGCAGCAGGATCCGATGGAATGACTTCAGAGATATTTAAGTACAGTGGAGACAGTTTACTGTCTGCACTAACTAAGGTACTAAGCAGCGTCTGGGAATCAGAGGAAGTCCCGTCGAGAAGGTGTAAGTTTTTGATTATCCCCATATACAAGAAGGGGGGTTAGCTTGACTAATGTGGTGGTATTGAAAGTTCTAGGCTCAATAATCATGCGTAGACTAAACGGTGCTCGGGAGGAACAAACATCAGAGAACCACGCAGGCAGGCTTTAGACCAGGAAGCAAGAGGGTGCACTGATCATATCTTCACCCTCTCTGGTGATTTTCCAATGGTTTTCTAACTGCTGTCAGTTTATGATCAATCCTGTAAACGAATAATTTCTCCGCTTACAACATTTCGGGAATTATGTTGCTGGCACTTTATTCCTATAACTCAAAGTCCCTGTGGAAAAAAGTATGTTCAGACACAGCATTTTGTAACTAATAATTTGATTTCGATTTAGGATGTAGGCAGTTGAAGAGAATCCATGAAATAAACCAAGCTCCACCCCCACCCCGGCATTATTCTGCAAAACATATGTCCATTCTTTCTTTGTTTCACATTCTAGTTTAGGACTCTTCACCTACCCCAGTCGCTGATTGGAGTCAACGGGCACACGTCTCGTAACATAAAGGTTCTTGACTCGATATCTGCGGGAGAGCAAGGGTATTACAGCTGCATCCTGTTCAAGAGTCCCAAAGTAGTAGTAATGTGGTGAGAGCTGGCTGCTAGCCAAAATTAGTAGACAGTAATTTACGTCAATGTTTACGTCCACAATATTGGTCATGAGGTAAATAAGAACAAAGACTGATTCAACAACCAATCAAATCAGACTTTGTTAGCGTAGGCGGATACAATTTGAAGATGGATAATCTGACCTTTAAGAAGTAGCCACAAAGCGATGAAAGATTGACTTTCAGCGAGAAACCGCCAATCAGAAGACTGTGTTTGTCTGCTCACAATAATCCATAATAATGTACATGAAAATCTATAAATATATGTTGATTTCCTGAATAAACGATCTGTTTGGCTGGCCCTTGTCTTCTGTCGTTACAGTAGGACCAAAAACAGCTGTATCCATAGCACTATACACTCTCGTAGTTTTTAACAATCGCCTAAATGATCATGTCAGTTCTTCATCTCACTTAAAATCAATTAAATACCTGTAAGCCAACACATTTGAGAATAAGACAGCGCCAGTGTTGAAAGCTGTATATGAAGAGAAGGGAGAGAGAGAGAGAGAGAGAGACAATTTTCAGACTAATTAACTAACTAACTAGCCAAAAAATAAAACAGATAAACTTACATGTTTTTTAATTTTATGAAATTGTTTATTATAATGAGCAACACAAGTGAAGAATATTTCACGTTCTAAATTTGACCATTCATATTGAATTGGTGTATAATTGCAAAGATCTTCTACAGCCTCATCAAAATCAAGCTGATGCCATGTAAGTAAGGCAAGAGCCTGTTCTTCTGTATAACTTGAAGACAAAACAAAATAATAAGAAGAAGAATATTAGAGGGAAATAGACAAAAGTACCATCTTGATGGTATTAGATGGTTGGAGGCAATCGGCCACAGGAAGCCTTGGACCTAGGTTTCGTGCTAGTTGGCACTCGTCAGCAAGGCGTATCTGCAACCTTGAAGGAACTCATGTCCCTTCTGAGATTCGAACCCGCGCCACCCAGTGCTGCAGTCAGAGACGTTACCACTGAGCTATTCGGGCCCGCAATTGACCTCCTGTAGGACTGTAGTAGATATTTTGATTTGACACTAGTAACTAGTGTGATGCGTCTAGTCCTCTGATTGGTGGTAACATCTCTGACTGCAGCACCGGGTGACGCGGGTTCGAATCTCAGAAGGGACATGAGTTCCTTCAAGGTTGCAGATACGCCTTGCTGACGAGTGCCAATTAGCACGAGACCTAGGTCCAAGGTTTCCTGTGGCCGATTGCCTCCAACCATCTAATACCATCGAATCAATGTGCACCGTGATGGCGAGCTAGCTAGAATGGTGGTGACATTACAACCTGACTGATAGAATTCAGTCTACACCAATCAGAGGACTAGACGAATCACACTAGTTACTAATGTCAAATCAAAAAGTACCATCTTACACCAATGAAATGATTAAAGCGCCAGGCAGTCTCAGAACGGATACATAAGCGCTCGTGTAGTACTGGCCAGCATACATCATCATCTCTGGAATAGATATGCTATACAGCTATCGGTTAGATGACTGACTGACCGGTTTGAACATAGAAATGTGCACAGAAGTGAAGCAGTTCGAGTCACACCACACTCCACTCCGTGTAGCACACAAAGAGAAAACAGAAACAAAGAAAAGGGAAAAACGAATAATCGTAGAAAATACCCATCGGGACATTCAATTGAAAAGAACAAGAAGTTCAGCAAACTGATGTCAATCTTTTCGGCGATTCCATTCTCAAAATCAGCTGTACAATCGCATTCATATAGATTATTTTACATGGATACAATTATAATTTGCTTAAATCCACATAGTAACGAAGGACATAATAATTTTCAACTTGATATGAAAGTTTGAAGGTAGGAATATAGATTACAAGGGGCTTAGAGACAAGATTGCATAGGATTAGAAAACAGTTACAACGTATCCAAAAATTAATATTTGATAACTGAAGAAATAATTTTAAAGGAGAATAAAAGGTGATAATTATTTTCAATTTGATATCAATTACAAGAGGCTTAGAAACAAAAGACTACGCAGGGATAGAACGAATTACAGGTGTGAACAAAATGAGCATGGAAACAAATTGAAATCGAAATTTTCAACTCGAAATGTAAGTTAGGGGAGGTATGAATATAGATTACAAGAGGCACAGAAATAAAAAATTACACAGATTAGAATATAAATGTAATATGGTTATTCTAAACGGATTACTACAAGTGTGATCAGGAGGAGCATGGAAACAAACTTAAAACAAATGGTTTTATAACTGAAAAAAATGGGATGAATTAAATGAAGACAAAGTGAGAAAATTACACACACAGATAACAAAACAAAAAAACTGAAGGATAAATAAATAATAAATAAATAAATCATGTGATATATTCTTTTTTGAGAAGCCCAGGAAAGATTAATGGAGAGCAATAGAGTACAATAGGTAAAATACAGGAGTTTAAAAATTGCAAAACTAAAGGTTGGTTGATTCCTGATTGTCTTAACTTTTTAATGTAGAAGGTAAGACGAAACATTTTCTTAGAGATAGATAAGATATGGGATGACCATGAAAGGTCAGAGGAAAGAACTAATCCAAGGTATTTATTGCTTGATTTGGTTTCATTTCCGTGCCATATACTACAGGGATCATGCAAGCTAACTAGTTCAAGTAAGTCACGTCGGTGCTTGAAAGTAAAGTCAAGTGCCTGACATTTGGAAGGATTTAATATAAGACCATTTGACTTGGACCAGTTGTTGATGTCCAACAGAAAGCTATTAAGTTTGGAGCTGTCAGACTCAGAAGTGATAGGCAGTGATACAGTCAGATCATCTGCATATTTAACAAAGTTAGTTTCGTTTGAATGAGGCAGGTCATGTAGGAAGAAAGAAAAAAGAAAAGGAGAGAGGACAGCACTTTGTGGAACACCGGATTTTGTAAGCGAGGTAGAAGAAGATTTGCCGTTATATACAGTATACTGCATTCTATCAGAAAAATAGGAATGCAACCAACTCTTAGCCCAGGATCCTGTTTGTGTCAACGATAGCTTATTTAGCAAAAGGCCCCTAGGTACAGAGTCAAAAGCAGATGTGTAGTCTAAGAAAGCACTACGAACATATTTAGCACCTTTGTCTAAACAAGAGACAACATTGTGAGGGAACATACCGAACTAGGTCCGTGGTAGTTGTAAAGTCTGGACTAGTTTCTTTGGAACACAGCTCTGGCTTTTCAATGCATATGGCGAGAGCTCCCGCAGTACAAAGAAGTCGGGAACACACTGGTTTTTGTTTACTTTGTAAATGACTCTAAATGATGAGTCGGTTGAGATTCTGTGACAGGTATTGATTGGCGAGGTGTTCAGTTATTGCGCTTCTGATTGAACCGGTGCCTACTCTTTGCAACCATGCTGGATGATGTTCTCTAACACGTTTTGATGGAAATCGCATAGAACGACCTATGTACCTAGGTCCACGCTAACAGGTGAACTGATATATGCACTCTGAAGTGGTTACATGCGGAAGTCTGTCCTTCCCGTTGCTCCGAAGTGGTGGCCAGCTAGAGAATATCACCCTTATAGTTGCTGCAGGAAAAGTCACCAGTTATCAAATATTAATTTTGCATACGTTGTAACTATTTCCTAATCCTATGCAATCTTGTCTCTAAGATGCCTTGTAATCTATATTCGTAACTTTAAACTTCCATATCAAGTTGAAAATTACTAACTCCTATGTGGAACTAAATAAATAATAATTGTATCCATATGCATCGAAAAGCCGGAGCTGTGTGTTCAAAAGAAACTAGTCCAGACTTTACAACTACCACGGACCTAGTTCGGTGTATTCCCTTATCCTTCAGTTTTTTTTTGTTTTGTTATCTGAGTGTGTAATTTTCTCACTTTGTCTTCATTTAATTCATCCCATTTTTTTTTAGTTATAAAACCATTTGTTTTAAGTTTTTTTCCATGCTCCTCCTGATCACACTTGTAGTAATCCGTTTAGAATAACAATTTTACAATTATATTCTAATCCTGTGTACTTTTTTGTTTCTATGCCTCTTGTAATCTATATTCATACCTCCTCCTAACTTACATTTCGAGTTGAAAATTTCGACTTCAATTTGTTTCCATGCTCATTTTGTTCACACCTGTAATTCGTTCTATCCCTGCGTAGTCTTTTGTTTCTAAGCCTCTTGTAATTCATATCAAGTTGGGAAAAGAATAGTCATGTGGAAGAACAATAGAATTGTATTGAATATTGACAATTCGCGACTGTATAAAAGATACGTGGACAACATATTCATTATTTGTGACAACAACAACAATGACCCCAATCTACTACTGAAGACATTTAACTGTTGCCATCCAGCAATAAAATTCACTCTTGAAATGGAAAACGAGTCAAAAATTCTGTTTCTTGATGTGGAACTAACAAGAAGAGCTGATGGGAGCCTAAGAAGATCAATCCATAGAAAACCTACGTGGAATGGTCAACTAACAAGCTTCTATAGCTGGGTACCCACTAAACAAAAGCAGAATTTAGTAAAATCACTTGCCACCCGCATCCGATGCGTCATTTGTAGTCCAGACGTTCTGCAAAACAGAATTAGATATTCTAAGAGAAATCTTCATCCAAAATGGATACCCAATAAGATTCATTGACAAAAATATTTAAACCGAAAATTCGGAGAAACGAAACTTCACTTGCACCTAAAAAGAAACTCTACATGAACTTGGATTTCAAGGGAGATTTAACGAGTGATATTCTCAAGAGAAGGATCACATCATCTCTGAGAAGAACATTCTTTGCAGCAACGCTATGAATAGCGTTCTCCAGTTGCCCACTGATCTGCAGAAGCCTCAAGGACAAGATCCCGTATCTGACTACTCCTATGTGCATATATCAGCTCACCTGATGCTGTGGAAGCAGCCAGGTACATCGGTCGTTCGACGTGCACCCTGTCCAAGAGGATTCAAGAACACTATCCAGCCAGCATGGTTGCGAAAAGGCAATGGTGGTGCAATAAGGAGTGTAATAATTGAACACTTGGTTAACACACTGATCATTCCATCTCAACAGCAAACGCCTCCGGCTTCAAAGTAATCTACAGAGTCAAAAATAACCTACCAAAGGCAATACGGTTTCGTCTTCTTTGTATCACTGAAGCTCTGACCATTCAAATTGAGAAACCGGAGCTGTGCATACAAAAGAGAATTACTCAACCACTTATACTATCATAGTAACAACTTTGTTGATTTTGATGACTTAATTTTGTTTGTTCGCCTGTTCTTTCATTGCTTATAATTCTTCTATTCATTTAGAGCTCTTACGTAATTTCGTATTCTCTGCTTTGTTCCCATGAATATGAAAAATCACAAAGACTGGAAGTATCTCAGCCATCACTGAGAACGAGAATTTTCAGCCATATTCATCAAATGTCTGCCAACCGTCAATGGTTCTTACCATCCCAGTCAGGCAGTCTCCAAATCCCTACGTGACTGGCTAGCTTAAACTAACTGTTAAAGATTGCATTGACTGACTCCACATTTTCCTGTGACCACCATTAGCTCTTTTCCAACCCAACCGTCAGACAGCGTTGACAGAGAAGTAATTTGGGAACTACTCTAACACTACATCGTGCAGTGCCCCAAAGCTTCATCGGTCTCATTCAGACACAGCTGGCTAGATGACAATGCCTACCACGTGTCAGATGATCCACAACCGACAGCTCAGCAAAGCCTTTGAGGTGAATACAGGAGTAAGACAAGCTAGCTGGCTGCCTGCCTATTATCATCGATGATATTCTTAATATTGGCCGACTGGATTATGCATCAGACTGTTGGGGGCAAGGAGTCAGGAATACGCTGGACGACCTATAAGAAGACTCCGGAAGATCTGGATTTCGAAGATGATATATGTCTAATGTCACAAAAAAATCGAAGACTTACAGGCAGCCGAAAAGCAACAAACTGGCTGAAGAAGCAGCAGCCAGCGAAGACAGGACTACAGGTGCACACAGAGAAGACGAAGGTGATGAAGGTACCCCTCTGACAACCACCAACAACAACAACCAGCAGCAATCGCCATCAAAGGGAGGAATTTGAAAGAGGTTACTTCCTTCACTATTCTAGGAAGTACGGTTTCAACCTCAGGCGGAATGGATGAAGATGTCAAAACCAGTTAGAATCGGAAAGACAAGATAAATTTTTTTTTTGATAACAGCTTGATTCCACACTGTATTTTTGGTACAATTATGAAATTTTCAGCATGGATATCGGTAGCCCAAATTTTGCAGGCCGACCATAAATATCCGGTGTGCGTCGGCAGGGATCGAACCTCGGCCCATGTGCATGGTCGGCGAGAGTCCTAACCACTGTACCACCGATGCCTTCATCAACCTGAAGTCAGTTTGGAAATCTTCTGCACTCAACACAAGGAACAAGATTCGGATTTTCAATACAAATGTGAAGTCAGTCAGTTAATCTATACGGGTCAAAAACTTGTACTGCGAGTCACAAAAAGCATTTCCAACAACCTACACACTTTTATCAACAGCTGCCACCTTTTTGTAACTAAAACACATCTGCTGAAGGTAAATGAAATCAGAAGTCTATACAAGTAGACAACTGTCAATATTTACCATCAGATGAAAGCATCCAACGGGTAAGATTAACGCTGCACACAGAAATCTAGGCAACGGGAGTGGATAGAGTACTTTATGTATCCAAATTAACCTTTCACTACTTGATAAAGCCAAGTAAACTTCTGGATAACTAAAATATCATAGATGCTTAATTTTAGAATTCAAGTACTATAGATTTACGTAGTGGGACAAGCAGAAATAGCCCTTATTTGATTAAGTTATAGTTAAAGTTCAGCAGTTCGCTCCACCTCACCCCCCCCCCGAAGGAATCGATTGTGAAACAAATATTCAAGAAGAGATGGAGGTGAATCGGTCATACTTTGGGAAAAGCACCAAGTGAGTGACATGACACGCCAGGCCATCAGTCAAATGGAACCAGAATGGGAAGTGGCGAGTTAGTTGGTCGTCAGTGCGAGGGTGACACGAAGGAGGTGATGTAAAGATGACATGAAAGCATGTGGGCAAACGTGGAGCCAGGTGAAAACGCTGACAGAGAACCAAACGCAAAGGAGACGTGCAACTGAAGGAATTAAAGGAAACAATAATAATGATAATAAGGTCGCCCCACCCTCCTTTATGACTGTCAGTCAGACATGGTCATTCAAAGTAGAAGACATGAAAAGCCTGGCTAGCTAGTTGTTTCTGCTTATAGATGTCTACGTTGTATTTCCCATGCTAGATGGTATAATAAGGTGAGTAATATTGAGGTTAGGCATAGGTCAAGTGTTAGGCAAAGAGGGAAAATTAATCGACCAGGTTGTAAAGTTACATCGATTGAGGTGATAGTTGGCACATGTGTTCCTCATGCATTCACCTAGACATCGCTTTCCTCGACAGGTAATGTCAGCTGACATAGGGTCGGGTTGGAAAACACCTAGTCGCTTCATCAGTCAATGAGGTCCATAACAGTCAGTTTAAGCTAGCCAGGTAGGCAGGCTGTTTAGGCTCTTCAAAATGGTAAGCACCAAATACAGCTAGAGACAGTTGCTCACATGCCTCAAAATCGGTGTAAATCGCTAGAGTAGATACAATCACTCTTTTTGATTCGTCATATCCTATAAAACTCCACTATTCTTCCATATTACTGTTCTTTTTCTCCTCACTCACACTTCTGTTTATTGTCTCTCTTTCGATGAATGTATCTTTACTCTTTTCTCTTCCCTTATGTGCTACAAGGAGGCAGTGTGACGACTCGAACTGCTGAACATCTGTGCAACGTTCTACGGTGAAGCCAGTCAGTCAAGACACACTATGTGCTTTGTGTATCAACTAAAACGGATCACTTACGAATATTCTTCACTAGCTGTTCTTATGAATTTCTCTAATTGATCCTTTAAACTTTCATCTATCGGACGCCATAAAACGACTTCATGATTAGATTCACTTGAAAGTATCGACTGTGGTGGTTCACCTTCGTACAGCGGGAGATCAGCTTGAAAATTTCCACCAACTCGAATCACTGCATCTATGGGAAAAGGAAGAGAGAGAGAAAAACGAAATAAAACAATTGGGGACATTGTTGTTATTTTTTACTTTTCACATAACACTAGGCGACTTTTTCTTCTTCATAACATTGTACGCTGTAAACAACTGCCAATAAACATTTTTTATTCCTTTATGTCCCCTCACCCCCCCAGTGGAACAAAACGGCTTCAAGCTAGAGCAGTGGTGTTTAATTTCACAAGATGGAATTGTCTATCTGTCTGTTTCGTGTGCTTTCGGGAGTGTGTGAGCGGTTGTTACTTCCCGGTTGCCCGACCAACCGTGGAAGTTGACTGTCTGTCTGTTTTCGACATAGAACTTGGAAGTTGACTGATTCTTCGGGTACCTGAAACAGAGAGAAGGTTAGTGTTGCATGACCGCAGAGCCCAGGGGACAACTGCTTTGAGGCCGGCCGGTCACACACAGACTATGAACTGGTTTCTTTGTTTTGGTTCCGTATTAGTAAACTTACCGCCGGTTACGGATCACCGTAGGGTAAGTCGAGTCGACCTTTTCTAACCCCGTCTCTCCCTCCGGAGTGGAGAGACAGCATAGCTGGCTGGAATGTTGGTCATCTGAGGGAAACACCTCACTGCTGTCACATCCCTGTTCCCCAGCAGTACGACTTCGACCAAAGACACCCAGCATAGTGTAAAAACAAAAATCTTACACTATGCCGTTAACTGCTTTTAGTCTAATCGCTATCCTAACAACCTTCCTGGCATGGTAGGACCTGCAGGAGCATTGGTTCCAGCCAGTGTGGCTTGTTGGGTCATCGGGATGTGCAAGCCCGACCACCACGTCAAGGTAGCAGCTATCGGTCGAGATGGAGTTACTGGCTTCATGCCCTACTTTTCCTCTTTACAAGTCCTAATTACCGGCTTAGCGAAGTAAAGGAGCGTATGTCAGTGACCGGGGATCGAACCCCGGATCACACGAGCTGTGGTTGACGAACATTCTACCACTGTGCCATCGGCGTACACTGTCATTTATTGATTTGTTAAGACACTGACTTTGTACATTGTGGACACTGACAGATGCACCACACAAAATCTGATAGTTTTTGAGAGAGCTGGGATACTGACCGGGTGTCCAGATCGAAGCAGGCGGTTGTCTTAAACGGTCACCGTCCCTCCTCCCAAGCCTTTGGCTTGAAATCTGATCCACAAGGCAGTGGAGCAATGTCAGGATTAAAACAAGTTTATGCGCTAAGCAATCCTTTCAGATTCCAGACCATCATAGGCAATCACTGTGACCTTCAACAACCAATCAGAGAAAGAATAGTAGTTTATGCAGACTAAGAAAGTATCAAAATATAGTTTACAGAGAAGCGACTTCGTGGGTTGCTTCCCTAAAAATCAGGAAAACAAGGAATATAGCAATCAGAACAACACCAGCAAAAGGAGAATAATTCACAACGGGAATGACAGCTACAACAATAATAAAAAAATAATGCGATAATGCGACAGACAGTGGGCAACGAGGAAACAGGCATAAAATGGACCCACACAAAAAACTTGGAGGATCTGAACTTCGCCGATGACATATATATGTCTGATTTCTTACAAACTAGAAGATATGCAAGTGAAAAGCAACAAGTTGGCTGAAGAAGCACCAAAGATAGGACTCCAAGTAAACATAGAGAAAACAGAAGTGATGAAGATTCCTGGGCAACACCAACAGACAATAAGCCAGCATAAATGGAAGGAACCTGAAAGAAATGACCTCCTTTATCTAACTGGGAAGCATCGTTTCAACTACAGGCGGATGGAACTGACGAGGATATCAAAGCAAGAATCGGGAAAGCAAGACAAGCTTTCATTACTCTCAAGTTTGTGTGGAGATTAACAACACAGCGAACCCAACATGAAAAATAACATCCGGATTTTCAACTCCGATTTGAAGTCAGTGCTACTTGCTATACGGATCAGAGACTTGGCACGTCATAAAGAGAACCTCAAACAGACTACAGACCTTCATCAACAGCTGGTTGTCTTCACTCAATACTACTCAAGATCAGATGGCCGTCAGGAAAGATCAGCAACAGGGATCTCTGGGAGCGAACGAACCAACCCAGCAGAAACCAATTGTGCAACGTATAAGCAGAAAGAAATGGGGGTGGATTGGCCATAGTCTGAGGAAACCATCATGTGGCATCACTAGACAAGCCCTCGAGTAGAAACCGAAAGGGAATCGGCCAGTTGGTCGTCCAAGGGTGACTTGGAAGAGGTCATGTGAAGAGGACATGAAAGCATGTGGGCAGACTTGGAGCCAGGTGAAAACTAGCAGAGAACCGAACGCAATGGAGACGTGTAGCTGAAGCCCTATGTTCCTTTAGGAGTTAAAGGAAATAATAATAATAAAGAAAGTATAATAACTGGTTTCGTAAGTTTCTCTCCAAATGTGTATAACCTTAAAAAGAAATATCAACTGAGTTTATCTACAGGAAATTTTGTTAACGTACTTGCAAGTCTCAATCGGACAAAAATGGGTGAAAATGTATAACTAATTTTAAAAGTGGACAGATTTTGGGTATATGGTAAGAATGATTATAAAATTGGCAAATCCTTGTTATACGGTGGTTAAAAAGTGGAAAATATTGCCTCAATAATTGTTAGAATGGGAAAATAATGGTGAAATTAAATCAAAATAGGAAAATCCAGGTCATGTGATCAGAATTCATCCACCCTTTTTACTACTGGCTATGCTCATTATTCACTGGTTTCTATCCGACTGTGGTGCCATAATGTCAGTTAACTGTCTACAGAATCCATAATTAATAAGCAGTACTCAGAAATTATGTTATATATGTCCAAACCAAGTTCACTTTTAAGAGTTTGAAAAAATTCCGAAGAAATGGGCCTCAACGGTTGTCATTCCATATAGAGCAGAGACGTCAAACGTTAGATATCAGAAGAGTGCTCAGTAAGCTAGACATCAGAGTTTTCTTCAAAAGTATCAGACACACTGCGAAGCAACCTTGTCCATATAAAAGACTAAATATCTAAAGATTCTCTATCTGATTGTGTCTATAAAATAAAATGCTTGCTTGGAATTTGATGCGATATACATCCAACAAACACCTTGAGAAATCAAAATCAGAAGAAATGAACGCCGTCGAGCATTTGTTTGACCACAGAGAAATCCAGTTGGACTAGAAAAGCTTGCAAAATCATTGGCCATAGGTCTACACGCTATAGAATCAGGCCACAAAATTGATTTTGACAATATTGAAATCTTCATTCAGAGAAAGCATTCCAAAAATCACAGAGAACGTCTAATATCAGAAGCACTCCATATCAAGTGGAATCCAAATTGTCTGAATAGGAATGAATTGTGGACTAATACATTAGCTGATCTGGTTCCAACACACACACCCCTCCCCCATGAAGTGACAAAATCAACACGAATGTGATAAACAAGTTCACTATGTAAACACATACTACTTTTACAATTTTACACACTTATCCAACAATCTACACTTGATTTTGTTATCTTTACCAATTGGCCAATTTGACAACGAAAAATGACTCCATACTGAGGAACGATGATTAACTTGTTATATATAAGCTGACAAGATTTTGTAAACTCTGTTTTAACGATACTACTTCGATAAATCTATTATCAGAAGAATTAAATAGAGAAACGTCAGTAAAAACAATATGATTTTGTTTTCCATTCATTGGGAAATACACGAAAACCTTTATTATAATGAGTACTCAAAAATTACACTTACCTATAACTTATGTACAGAGTTAAAGTTTAAACAAAAATCAAAAATTGTGCGTTTAGATGCAATGGAGAAGGAGTTGCACAACTAAGACATGCTATACAGTATATGATTTTTCAGACAAAATGTAACGGACATCCATTACACCATAGTATAAACTTACGCGTCTCATGTCTCAAACGAGCATCCATCAGCATGACTGTGCTCTATATTAATGTGAAACTTTTCAACAACTAAGAAGAAGCTATAATATATTTTGCTAGACAACTGAGGCCAACTTGAAGAATAGTGATCCAAGGAGGGATCTCGCACCAATGACCTTCTAGCGCGCAATCGGATCAAGGAAGTGAAATGAGGTGAAAAGAAATCAACCATGTACGAAAGGAAGTGCTAGTAAAGAACAATCGGACTAAACGGGATATCTTTCTTTCGATTTGTCATTCTTTATTATGGATGCTCCCATCTGTTTCTCTTCTTTCGCGCGAATTGGCCGGGTGAAAGCTATTGGTCATTTGAAGGCCGTCGGTGCGTTCGTTCTTCTTGCACCACTACTCCTTGACTTTGTCAAAAAACGAATAATATTTTCTAATACGGCATGGAAGTTAGGCAATATGCTAAAAGTTCTTGCTATATCGATACTTTTTTACACACAAATATAAAAGACAGTTAGAACCAATATTGGAAGACTTACTTTCGTATGAATCTTGGTCAGAAAAGGAAAGTGAACGGGAATGACTACCACGGGTAGGATCACCACTCATCTGAGTAGTAACCTTCGCAGGTGACCTTCACGGTCGCTTTAGGCGCCTAGTTAGGCGTGTATTCGACTCAGACTTAGATGACACAGATTTTTCGCTGAAGATAAGAAGCTCTGATGTCGTTTAGATCCTCTCCTTGGTGGTATTTTCTTTGTGGTCCCATCTTGATTAAGCCAGCAGAGGGCGAAGGTACCAGGAAAACGGCTTCAGGAGTTTATAAATCGGTTGGATAACAAGTATTTCACAACAGAAGAGTCCTTTCTTTGTCTTCTTACTCTTCTGTCTGATCTTCTGACATTTCCCGACCTTGCAGAAACAATAAGAGATAGCGCGCAAATTTTGAAAATGGTCGGAATTTCAGCACATTCTTGTTTAAATCCAGCTTCAGTTGTGCATAATGCAAAAAATACTTACGGTCAAACTCTTAACCAAGTTATTCCATTGATGTCAGTTTTTTATAGGTTTCAAGTTAACCTATTAGCATAAAGTTCGTTTTTTTACTAGTTTATCCAATATCGTTTTTAAGGGCTAGTTAAAACCAACTTGATTTCGTTGCGCTCGCCTCTTGATTGTGAGGTAAATAATAATAATGTATATTCTCATATAAACATAAATTTACATGAAAATGCATGCCATTTTACAGGCACGATCAAGTATGTTACGATGTCAAATCTTAAATTGTCTACAAGTTAATAATGTTTCAACAGTTAAATATTTGATATATATATAATTACACTCATTGTGTGAACCAGGCCGTATAGTTATTGAATTGTACAATTGTCCTCCAGGTTGGGCGGGAAAATCGACTTCGTTTCGTTTTCATCCCGTGGTTGTCGGCATACGATAACCAACCAATGTTGAGGTAAGTACAACGTTTACAAGGGATTGGAAGCTGTTTTAGAAAAGTAAAAGTGCTGAGGTGAATCATTAAATTGTAATGAAATAGGTAAGTGCAAGTATCATTAATAAATGCATTTATAAGGAAAACTCCCTAGGCTGACAACGTTCATTTGCAATGTATAATGCTACACGTATATCTCGTACTATCATGATGTCCACTTTTGGTTTTAATACATTTATCCTCAGTTGTGCCAGTTGTTTTTGTTTTTTACTTTTCTGTGCATTAAGTTCACAACCGTACCCTTCAGAGAATAGGAATATAATAAGTCATAAAGATCTGTAAAATGTTAGGTTTAATGGGATATAATGAGGATCAAGTAAAGACGTTATTGGAAAATGAATGAGATAAGACATTGTGAAGTGGTATTTAAAGATCAGACAATGGACAGCAAGTTAGTTTATAAGATGCCCCATAAATCTGTGCAGATCCCGCGTGGTCGCGTCTCAACAATAGGCTGAGCGAATGGTATATATTGTGAGGTAAAGGTTCCTGGTCTTCCGTAAACTTCTGCATAGTTCGTCTGGCCACTCAACTTTTGTAGCTTTGGTTGACTGCAAAGAGAGTAGTGGTTTGTAGTATGCAGTCTCAGATTCAGATTGAGATGATAAGGATAAAAGGCTCTTGTGCCCTATTTTAATCCCTGCAAAATATGCCTCTGCAGAAATCTAACTTTTTATTTGGAGCTGATACTACTGAATCAGGTAAGGAGTTCCAGTCGTTGACCACTCTGTGAGAGAATCTAAATTCCACACGTATTTTAATCGTCCTCGGTTTGAGCACATTTTTGCGGTGACCCCATAAATGTACCGTAGAAGGGGAGAAAAGGTTAGAAAGGTCAGCTCCTAAATCACCCTTAAGTTACGGTATGCTAAAATTAAGTCACCCGTCTTTCTTCGATATGGCTTCTGACCTAAGTGCACTACCACGTTTTTCCTAGAATTCATTTTCAAACTCCACAGGTTCGACCACCCAGCTAATTTAACTGGATCACTTTGCAAGGCTAACATATCCCCGTTATTATTTACAGTTTTCCATATCTTAATGTCGTCTGCAAATAATAATGAAGATGAAGTACGAATCCCCGGTAGTTCATTAACGTATAATGGGAATAGCAAGGGGCCTAATACAGTTCCCTGGGGCACTCCACTGGATACCGCTCTCCACCCTGGTAGTACACCGTTAACTCTTACCTCCTGCTTTCTATCCATTAGGTAATCCCCAAACCACTCACATAGACATTGGTCTAGTCCGTAGCCTTTAAGTTTACTAAAGATACCTGAGTGGGATACTTTGCCGAATGCCTTGCTAAGATCGATAAAAACCACGTCCAACAGAAGGTTTATATCTCTGGCCTCAACCCAGTCTTCCCTAGCCACTAGTAGGTTTTGTCAGACAGGATCGTCCTGTTCGGAGTCCGTGCTGTTCCACAGCCAGCAAGCCATGTTCTTAAACATGAGCTGATAGCCGATCCCTTACAATAGTTTCCAACACCTTAGCTATAACGCATGTCAGACTTACTGGCCGGTAGTTAGATACTGATTGTCTATTCTCCTCTTTGAAGATAGGGCTTATAATGGCATCCTTCCAGTCCCTCGGTAGCTTAGCCTGGGTCAGAGACTTTTGGAAAATCTCCGTAGGTGGAATATATATTATATCTGCCGAGGGAATTAACAGTTTAGGATGAAGACCAATGGACCAAGATGATTTACCCGGCTTCAGTTTAGAGGGTAGTTTGAGGCCTTTTGTGTGAGGCCGAACCAAAGTTGAGGACATCTGAGTGGGGATGGCAGTGACTTCGCCATATCACTGGGTGGTACGTTCAGACGGAAAGACGTCACAGAAGTATTCAAAGATGTTTTCAGCCTTTCCTTCGTCTGACTCAGCCGCTTCTCCAATAAAGCTTATGAGTGACGGTATACCACTGCTAGTTTTAGTCCTACGTATAATAAATGAGCACAGCCTCTTTGGGTAACGAACACAATCCAGACTAACCGTCTCTCGTACTCTATACGACTCTTGTTAATCACATACAGAGATTTCGAAATTTGCGGTAGTCTTTCTGGAAATTTTCCCTTCTTGTCATAATAAATTGGTCCCATAAGTTTTTCCTCCATCTCGGTAACCTCCTTATTTCACTAGTAATCCAAGGTGGCTTATGCGATAACTTCCGAGGAATGTACCAAGAAACAAAAGTTGGAGTGACACAACCTAGTGTATTACTAAATCCCGCCCAAGCTTACTAGACAGTGAGACTTGTATCAACTGACCAGTCAACCTCAGTTGCTGCGTTCCGGATTCCTTGTATATCCGCTTTCCAAATGTTTGGACGAGCAGATTTTGACCTGTGTATGAGAGAATAAATCTTAAACGTAAAAGCAATGACTATGTGGTCACTGATGCCAAGCGGCGGAAGGCACCTAATGTTACCAACCTCCTCCTTCTGGTTCGTTAATATCAAGTCTAGAGTAGACGGATCATGTTCAGCGTGATACCGTGTTGGTGCATCCATATGTCGCACGAGCAAGGCTTCTGTAAATAACTCGAATCGTTAAAATACCTTTGTTCAGGGAAATGATGCAACTTGCAGTTTCACTGGTGTCGCTTTCATGAGCTTCTGGCAACGATGACCTAGTCCCTGTCATCAGAGATGTATAGAGCAAACCCTACCTTTCCCACTACATACTTTGTCTACTCGAATGCAGACGTACTCAGGCATGAGTGGAGTTAAGTCTACACCCACTAACAACCATTTCTCAGTGATAGCAATCACATCAGGTTGTAGTCTTTCAGATAATTCTCCCCATTCGGTGAGCTTATTCCTAAGATTACATGCGTTCGTATAGCACACTGAAACACCTACGTGTTCATCCGGCTTATGAAGAGAGGTGTTGGCATCATCGATTTCCGAGACCTCACCACCCGAAAACCCAATACCTTGAGGTCTTTTTCGCCTTTCTCTAGCCCGACCTGTAGTTCATTCATGACTTCTCCTGATTCTATCTTCTAAAGGCCAACCACGCCTTATTTTTAAACTTTTATAGTTGATTTTGAACGCGTTGTTGAGGATGGTGCTCCTCTCTGTTTCGTTCCCTAAAACTATCTAAAGTAGTCGTCGGGAAGTTTCCGTAGCATCAAGGTTTCATTTTTCGATCCTGATGGCCTGTCTTATATGGACTCTAGTTGTTTTTTCGGGAAGTATTTCCCGGATAATGGAGCCAACCGCCTTCAAATCATCTGCATGACAGGCAGCTGCATCTCTGTTTTTAGATTTCTCTAAATTCTGGATGATGACACTGTAACTAAGGTCTGTGGGTTTCAGAGTTTGGCTGGTATTAACAGCCGTCAAGACCTTGTTAGGGCACCCAGTTACTGTTTCTTTCATATGTTTAATTTGCTTCTTACCTGTCGGAGTCAGTTTCCACGACTTTGTTTTTGCAGCGACCAGAAACCATTCGTACACTAGACATGCTGAGCTCTGGCATGGCCGTTTCACAGGCTGGTGTTACCATGCTGGCACTACTTGTCATTTTTGGGTTTCTTTTGTTTTTGCGTTTCGCCACAACTGATATTTGGGCACTCTGCACCTCTTTTGTGTCTGACGATGCGGGAGGCGATATACTCTCAGTTTTAAAACTAAGTCCTGAACCGCCATTCTTGGCAAGGATTTCTGGTGCAGGCTTTCCGACCATATTTTTCGACTATTTTTCGGACATAAGAAGTCCTACTGCCCTTGGATGAGAACATCCAATGGGCTACAGCGAAATTCGCGCGGTCACGGAGATAATGGCTTGCGACATCTCTCATAGGCTACTGGTGATAAACCAGTGCAAACGTTGCGGAACCATAGGCTGCTGTTGTCACACTGCATCGCATCATCCACCGGCTAACGGCAGTCCGGTCGTCCACAATTGTTAGTTGGACTTATAACTCTGTGATTTCATTAAACTAATCGAATATACATACGTGAAAACAGTGAGATAGATACCAACTGAATGTGAATAAAATGAACAACACTTCAACCAAACAAATTGGTGATACGATTTAAACAACAAAAGCAGAAATCGCTCCATGACGTAAAAATGACTCTCTCCTTTATCAAAGTGCACGCACGTGGTGTGTTAAGACTGTTACTACTGTGAATGGAGTTGATCCTTTCACCAGTTAGTCCTCCGGTATCGTCGTTAAAAGAAAATAGATAATAATAGATATAATTGCTGTAGGTTATTCAGACTAAAAGGCAGAAAAGTAAATAAAGAAAACGTGAAAACAGACAGCCAATTAAATTTGAAGTCGATATATGTATATACATATATAATATCAATAACAATAATAAGCATAAGTTTAGTAGTCAGTGTAGTCAGGAGAGTAAGATGGGTGAGAACGTGAAGAATTTAGCTGTCTACCCCTGAATGGTGTAACGGATTTTAAGAGAATAGGCCATTCAGACGCAGTCCTTGTG